GGAGACCAAGGTAAATATGCCCTATTCTTGTTGTACGTGGAAAAATATGCTTGCGGAATCAGCGCCCTTCATCGCGCGCGGTCGCGATGTAGCTACCGTCGACAAGGTGCGTTGTTGTTCGAGATTTTATGTGGATAAACGGTCATGGTTACATCCCGGTAATATGAGTAAGCTTCAAAGCACAAGAATTAGTGTAAACGTAAATATTCGGTTGTAGCATTAGTGTTCGCAACCGCGTTGCAACCGCACGCTTCTCCTCTATCCTTTGCGTCTATTAGATTCTTCACATAAACTTCAATATGACCACATAAGGAAATTTGCTGTCAGAAAGATGAAGGATGCTGAATTTTGGTGGGCTTCTCTAGGAACGATATGTATAATGGCAGTAATTTCAGAACGGTCCCTGGGACGACGACCGTTTATACCTCGGACTCTAACCGCAACTTTTCCACTCAGGATGTCTTCAATAAGAAGGAAGAGATGAACGAAACTCTTCCACTGGGAAGTATCAGCAATACACATGCTAATACTCAGGTATTTCATTGGTATTTTACTGGAGAACTCAGAAAACATGAGACGATTGGGCACATTTTGGCTTAGGAGGGGGAGGGGAAGGGGCATTTTGCTGACAGTGCTAACTGTCCCTATCTCCCACCTCTGCAATGTGGTTGACACCGTCACCGTCAGAGGGCGGTAAGGCAGTCACATCGCGGCCAAGCTTGGTCGTCAAGGGAGGTCAAGTAACCGGGTGTCGGTCGTGAGACCCGCTTTGCGGCGACGCAAAACGTGACGACGGGGACCATATTGACGTGAATTTGTGCAGCGCGTTAGATCAGCTGCATAAAAGACCTAGCTAATTTGTAGAAATAGTCTCTGTAAAGTGGTTTTCTGTAACGTAACCAACCCTCGATGAGCCTCATCGCCGCTTACTGGTTATGGAGTTCAGAAGGAATGAAGAGACTGGCGGAACAGTGAGGGCAGGACCACGCGGGGACTGGGGCGGGTGTTCTTGTAGCTGGAAGATGATACAGCCCCGCTCCCCCCCCCCTTCCTCCTCCGTCACTTTCCATAATATCAGGAGGGATGTAAGGCTTTCAAACTTCGCGTCGACCCGCTGTAATGCGCAGTAAAGCGCGTCGACGAGCTACAGTTTCCACAGCTCTCCGAGGCCATAGACGCGAACGGAAACGCAGTCAGCCAGCGAAAATTGATATCAGTCAGCGTGGATAGCAACAACTATCCTTTTGCGCCATACTTTCTCATAACACAAGTGACCGGGTGCCCATCGATCGAGAGTGTGCAGACGAGAATCGATCGGCACCAGCCGTTCCACGTTTTCCTGCTTTGGAGCGTGCTTCAATTGCAGCAGCGTCGACGCCGCGGGGCAGCGCAATTGACGCGCGTCGGTCCTGTAATCACAGTGCAATATCGGGAGCTTCCCCACAAGGTCACATTGAGTCCCACACGAGCTTCAGGGGCATGCCGACCTAAGTGTAGATCTCTGTGAAATGAATAAAGTGGTCATTCAATTGCAGGGTGGATATCGAGACCAGCAGGGCCATGACGTCTCTTACAAACGAGAAACGCAGACAGCTGTTGACCCTGGTAAGGAGTACGCTCTACTGAAGGAGATGAAGAAAAGAGTGGTGGCGACGCGATTGGAGCCGCGTGTAATCTCGACGGTGCGTGTTATCCTGTTCCTGCCGCTCTGCGTCGACTCAATGTTGTGTTCCTTGGCATCGATCGAATGCTGAGGCCGGTGGCAGAACAGGCCGTCCTTGAATTTTGGTGGGCGGACCAACTAGGTAGGCGGTAAAACTGCCATTTATGAGGGCCACACTCCTTCGTCACTCATTTTGAAGCCGCAAAAGTGTGACAGTCTGAGGGGCTGAGGAAGTAGACTACTTGTGAAACGACAGGACGCCTGCAAATTGCTTGAGTGAGGGTTGTTATTGAGGCAGGATGACAGTTGGTAGCGTAGAAAAGATCACGAATTTCTGACTATTTCATTTCAGGCATGTAACCACGAAATACTACAAGAAGAAAACCGTCACCGACACCACAACGACAACGACTCCGCAGTGAACGGTGTTCTCCTAGAGAACAACCTCAACGGAATTGCCACGCTAAAAAATTGATCGAAAATTACCGCCACGAGCTTTGCGAGCTTGAGTCAAACAAAAAAAGTCACCTGAGAAGATTCGATGTGTTTTAGTCAGCATGCTTCCATGAGAAAAAAATCTGCCATAATATTTTATAGAGCAAGCCGAGCCAATGTTTTATTTGTACGCTAACCATTATATGTATGGAGGTCTTCTCTATGCTATTTTATTTTTCGGCCTGTAGCGCTGAATTTTTTTTATAAAAATTTGTTCTTGCATTTAGTCTTTTCATGTATTGGACGACTCCTCATAGAACAGCTCATCGTACAGCTCATTTCTTTTCGCTTTTACCTTAGAACGTGCATCGTTACTGTAGTATATTTGGCATTGATCAATAAATTGAAAAGACAGTCACTTTTAAGAAGAATCCCCGTTCCAGGAGTGGGAGGTGAGTAGTGGCAAGAGGCCGCCGCTCATTCCTTCTTCCGCCGCCTGAAGTCCCCCCCCCCTCTCACCTCCCACCCTGCCCCTTCAAACCCTCGATAAACCTGGAAACCTCTATCGAATTTGTCTGAGAAAACGAAACCCTAACTCATATGCCTTACGAGGTTGGTAGGTGAACTTTCGGCCTAGCGTTCCGAATAAAGTAGCGGGCTTTTCCGCTTTTCCGCTCCAGCTTCCACGCTGACGACAATCGCGTTTTGCTGGAAAGCGCCGCGTGGGACAACGACGTATTTTCGCCATGCGTCCGCTTCTGAGCACGGTGCGGCATATTGTCCCTCGCTGGACCACTTTTTTTGCCGTCTATGTCAAATTATCGCAAAAAGACTGGGTCAGTCGTTGCAGGGACTGCTATTTCAACCATCCTTGACCCTATTGGATGTCATCCCATGCTATCACGCCCCATTTTCAGCGCGGTCGTGATATCCAAATCTGTGTCATAACTTTCTCTTTTTTAAGACGTTTTCTTGGAATTTCTTGCTCTTCACACAACCACAATCGGACTTCATCAGACACATAGCCGGTCCTCGCCCCCTTATTAGCAGCGGCCACTTCGAATTTTCATACCTTATTTCAACGTTGACGCTTTCATTCCCACTATTCACATATTGGATATGCGGTTGGTTGAAAGATTGTGGCGCCAAGTCGCCGCCAATCGGCGCGAAAACTGAGAAGGAATGATACATTCGTGACATGGATGCCAAATAACCCATGTGTTCAAGCTTGTACCCAATTCGGTGTCAAAAAGATTGCCTAGCGCAGATTTGGCCGGCCCGTTGCACCAAGCTGGCGCCAACATGAAAGGCAACGACATATCGTGAATAAGGATGTACAAAATAACCAGCTGTGGAGGTTTCTATCCAATTCGGTGTCAAAAAGCGCCGAAATGGCGCCTACTGACGCCATATGGCGCCAACGAACAAATAAGATCTCACGTTCATGATCAAAGCCCCTGCCACCAAGGTTTCGTCCAAAAAGAACTATTTAGGAGGTTCCTGCCGCAGCAGTAGCTAGTTGAAAAATGTCAATTTTTAATTCAAAATATCCCATGAAGACAGCAACATTTTCCTTGCTCATCCCTTGTACATTACCTTCACAGTTATTTCGAATGAGCAAGAAAAGATCGATTGCGACTGCTGGCAATACGCCGCCAAAAGTAGATAAGGAGAAAGTTATGAGCACCGGTGGCTCAAATTGTCCCCGGCCACTCACTTATGAGCACCGGCCGCGGCTGACTGGCTCAGAAGGTCCGTCAACGTGTATGAGCGAGGGGGAATCCTCGGTCGCCCGAAGACGGCGATTTAGTCGAAACGTTAGGCCGACCCAATATGGCTATGGAATAGCTTCCCACTCCACCGCCAACCTCGTTAGACACACAAGAACGAATCCAAGTAACTACCGAGATTGCCACGAAGGAGCTGGCAAACTACTGAATAGCTGGAAATGCTAACTCATACATCACTTAGCAATGCCAATTAAAAGACTCCCATTGCATTCAAAATGCCTCTTCTGAATACAAGGCCGTGGTACATTTAAGAGAGTAGTGGAAGCTTTTTCGCAACGTAGGCGGGAGGCAGTACAGGCTCCGGCTTACAGTATGCCAGACGTGTGCGCTCACGGGACCGACACATTCAATTTCACGCGCAATTTCGTTTGAGTTTCTGTGCACCTTTTCTTTCTGAACTTTCGATCTTCCTACTTTTAACTTTGAAAAGACCGAAAGATGATTTTGATTGGAGTGCAACAATCGAACAGCTTTCGTGCACCGCGCCATATTCACCTAATTCATGGCGCCGCTTTCACTGTAGCTGATGTGTGTGCCAGCCAGCAGCTTTCATTGTCATTTGAATGATGCCCACTCACCATGAGCTTCAGAAAAAGAAATTCGCCATCGCCTACGCAGTTTCATACCCAAATATTGGCCCAGAGTCAGTGCCTGTGTACCTACATTACCAATGATTAGTTTGTTGCTATCTAGTGTTAGGTTGAAGTACTTCCACCGACTCGATTGCCATTTCCTAGCGCATCACGAACTGTTCTCCAGCAATCTCGATCGCTCTCTTTACTACTGTTGGCCAGTTACAGGGTAGAACTTTCTACCATTTGCAGCTTGAGGTACCGCCCATACCATTGTCGGGCACGTCGTCAAAAATCCACAGAAATGCCTTCTTCTGGGAAAATTGCGTCTGAAACAAGGAAACAGCTATATAAGTAATCAATTGCGCCCTGTTTCTTGATGACAGTCCCCGCGATCAAAAATCATGCGATTGGTTACTGTTTAATTACAAAACATTAAGGTCTTTATTGATTATGATTATGATTATGTTAATGATCCCCAATAAAGGAAAAAGAAAAAAGAATTCTCAAGGATTACCAAAAATAAGATTGCTCCCTGACAGCCACACTGTCCTGCGGTCTCTCTGTGCCACCCTTGGCTCACAAATTGCTTCTTTTGCATCTCGCAGTACTAAATATCATCTAATGCGAAGAAAAAAAATCGAAAAACAGTAAAGACAGACGCGAAACTCGTAATCAGGGAACGTCCTACGTTGGGAAATACCCAGCTAGGGGGGCCGCATTTGCCCATGAGGAAAAAACCCCTACGTTGGTGCTGGTTCGTTTACTATCAATTTTCGATAATTGAAACTAGTCCTACTATATATAATCCACTAAGGTTTGTCTGTTGGGTTGTGTGGTGTGTGTGTGGTGTGTGTGTGTATTGCTTTTGTGTTTGACCGGAAAATTCATAACTTTCTTCAAAATAGCGATAAAGCGCTCAAACTTATAAGTGATGTAGGGGTCGGGCAGGAACACTGTTGGTGGGTGGCAGGAAGTGATAACAGTTGATAAGATACCGCAGGGGGTCTTAGAAAGGGAGGGTCACCAAATTCATAGCGTCGGCCAGAGTAACGACCGGACGTTGGATCCAAGTAGCAACATAGGGGGCAGGATGGGAACATTATTGGTGGGTGGCAGGAAGTGATAACCGCTGATAAGATACCATGAGGAGCCTTAAAAAGAGTGGGTTACCAAACTCATAACACCGGCCAGAGTAACGGCCGGGCGTTGGATCCAAGTAGAGAAATAGGGGGCAGGATGGGAACATTTTCGGTGGGTGGCAGGAACTGATAAGAGCTGATAAGATAGCACAGGGGGTTCTAGAAGGAGAGGGTCACCAAATTCATAGCACCGGCCAGAGCAACGACGGGACCTTTGGATCCAAGTAGAGAGTAAGACAGGGGCAGGATGGGAACCTTATCGGTGGGTGGCAGGACGTTATAACAGCTGATAGGACACAACAGCCCTTAACAACACGAGTCGTAGCAACACTGGGAACTACCCTCCAGCAAGTGATTCAGACGTTTTTAGCGAACATGGGAGACTTTGGTGGCAAGAGACATGTTGTGATACTGCTCCTGACAAGGGCTTAGAGTTAGTATCTGTCCCCCTCCCTACTCTGCTTGCGATTGAGCTTCACCACTGTGGTCCAGGAATCGATGAGCAAAAGGCAAAAGCTTAAAGATGTTGGTCAGTGAGGAGTGATAAGGGCCACCAGCACACGAACTGAAAGCTCCTCAACGGAAACGTAGGGGGAATAAGTTAGCTTCACCAAGACTTGGATAAATGTTACACCAAACTTCTTTCAACCGCTAAGTTGCCCTATTTCCATCAAATGGTGGGTGTTTTTAGAAACGTGATAAGCATCAGACATTGGCAAATGTTCATTAAAAAGGTGAAATATGGTGCAGTAGGCCGTACTTCGAGACATGGAATCAAGCCAAGTGTTAGTGGTCAGCACAGAAATCCTATCAGCAATCAGCACCCGGCCGGACGCGCAGTAGTGTGCGTCAGCCAAACTGGTAATTAATAAAGCTCCTTCCCCGCCCCGCTCGTGCGAAAATTGGAGGGGGAGCTAAGCAAAAGTTTCTAGCGAGTTTGGGAAATTGCCGCGAACAAGGTGGGAAAAAGCTGGAAAAGTTTCGACAACGGAAGAGGGAGGGTTTGTAGAGGAGGACAAAATTGGGGAAGGAATCTTAATTTAGGGCGTTTCCACAGCGGCAGGGAGTGCCCTGCTCGTAACAGAAAGAAACTTTCAAAAATTTAGCCAATTTAGGACTACGATTGCACGGTCAGCGTACAGCCAAAAAATATGCATCACTGGTATTGCTGCTAACTGCTACGTGCTCCTAGGTTGGGGGAAAATGTAATGAAGAAGAACAGAAATCTCGCTTACGGACACGAGCATGGTTCGGAAAAAAAAATGGAATGCCAATTCTCCGGACCTTAATACGCGCCGCCCCAGCGAACAACAAGTGAGCGCCCCTGCGTTAGGTGTACAGGGCTCCGTTGTGGGCGGTCCAACTGAGCAGGCGTTACAACTAGGACTTACGGTACGAAACCCCTTTTTCCCTTCGTCCGCTGTGGATGTCGCATAAAGTTGGACAGTGTCTTAGCTTGGGGGCTGGACTACTTGCATAAGGAAGGACAACCGCGAATTACCTGAGCGCGGGAATTGTCGCCAGGCTGAGAACTTT